CAAGTCATGGTTGCTGTTGGTGAGTGCGAGTATGATGATGGCTGATAGGGGTAGTATTGGCGCAGGCTCGTATTTTGAAATACCTAGGCAATGATGCCGCTGAGATACAAGCAATGCAATCCTCCATACCTGCGGGAGATGCTGGTTGAGGCCGGAGACATCAATGTTGAATAACCCAGTGACCGGCGGGTGGGCATACGAGGGCATATACGCCGAAAGCGCACCTTCAATCACCAGAGAAGGACAAGGGCAACGAAGGTGACGAACGAGTGGAGTTTGGTACGGTAGAGGGTGCATGCTGCCGCATACACTGATGAAACTTCATTTGGAAGCTAGATGAACACCGATGGTGAGTATTCTGGACAATCAAAATGAACAACCTGAGTTGTAGGTTAATTTGATTTGAGGTTTAGGTGGTGCCTTTCGTTTAGACAAACCGTCATTGGCGTTCACATTGGCGTTGGCGAGTGCCAGAAGTTTGTTGTGGTCAAGAGGTTTTTGACGCCGTTCCTACTACTCGGGTAAGTCAGAAGCAAATTTGCAAGCTGACGAGGTTTTCGAGGTCTTGTCATTACGTTCGTACGTTACGCTCCATGTACCTTGTTTCCGGGAGCTTTTGGGAACCGAAGTATTTCAGAAGGACAACAAGCACTCATCACTCAGGTACGTACGACTAGGCCAGAAGAACTGTAATTGCCAATGACGGGGATCTTGCTTCGATTCCAAAGCGAAGAACGTCAAAGTTAATTTAGCAACCTGAGGCTGGTCCTGCAATGAGATCAGTGGTGACGACGTTGTTGTGACCAGCTGACCCGCACGAACAGATGGCCTAGTCTGCGCTAGCACTAGCAACTGAGCATACACCGCCGCTTCGATGACCAGGGCGAGGCTACACCTGGACCCACCGTCGTTCTCGAGACACTTATGTCGCTTTCAGTCCATCGATACGCTGAAAGGACTCAGTCAATAGAAATCGACCAAACGTTACACACGGGCTAATGCCAATTGTGGTACCGGTATAGCTGGGACTGCACGACTTCTGACCTCAAAAGTATGTAGTACCTGCAGCAGCACGGTGGTTCACGACGCTTGTGCCTCATCACCTCCGTTTTCGATAGTCAAGGTTGCTCGTTGAGGTAAAAGGACCGAGATTCCGGTCCGACATGTCAAACGCAACCACTGATGAGGCGAATAATATTCATGTCCCATTGGTGGTGTTGCTGCCAGTACATAACCGGGCCTGTCATCTTCAGAACGGTCGCCCTTCGGTATTTTGTAGGTGGAAATTGGCTGTGGGAGATGTTGGACGACTTACTAATAGTAAGACCCCTGCGATCAATATATCATGATAAGTATATTTCAATTTGTGAAGGAGCCCGAGGAATTGGGATATGATCCAGGTAGTGCATGTCGGTATGTGATCAAAAGGGTGGTGTGAGCTGTGTTGGAGCTGGGTGTTCAAGCTCAAGCTCGAGTTTGAAAGTCAGCTCAATACGACCAAGTGCCACACATATACCGCACGAATCAACTTGATGAAGCAGTACTGGCAGGTCAATTGCAAAGAAATATGTAAGCAATGGTGGGACATGGACATTGGACACTACCAGCGTCTTCAACCCATCAAGCATCTGCAGGATCGATATCGACCAGTTTGAGGACAATCAATCTCCATCACAGGCAGAGTGGCAGTACTTGTAGATTTTTGAGGTCCAGTCAATGCCTTAGAATTGTGCTGTTCAAAGGCCAGGTTCAAATGTATACGAAACATAATATTCAGGGTGACATGGATGGATATAGATGATTCAGATGGTACGGTCGTCCTACATGATGCTAGTACGCTTTTGCGACTGCAACAAGGGCCAAGAGCTGCAATTCGATCTTGACACTACTCATCGTAGACTATAGTTGCAGGGCTCCTATAACGGATTGAGGGGACAAAATTGATCATAAAACTATAAATTGGGCTTACCGCATTTCAACACCCTTTGCAACGTTCTCGATTAGTGAGGATGTAGATAAGTGAAAATGAGTCGCGAACCTTTTCCTCCCAACTGATCTGTGCTTTCAGTTCTGTGTGGCCGAACAAAATGATGACGTCAAAATCAATCTGATAATAGTTTGATTGATCTGTAGCAGATTTCTTGGGACGGAGCGTTCGGGATAGCTCGCTGAGGTCGGCATGGATCGTGCACAGCGTGGAGAATGAGGCTGAATTGGATCAAGTCAGTATGAGTGTGATCGAGTTGCGAATAGTTCATACACCGTTCAACGTCCAACCACTGTGGCTCCTGGAGCGCACCCTTGTAGCACATTATGTCCGTGCTGTGAATCTTACATGCAGCACGTGACGTTCGGATAGTATGGAAAGACTTCCGGAATTCGCGCAGCTCAGATACTTGAGTTCCCTATAAAACAGATTAGCATGTACCAAATGAGTAGAAATAGTCTATTCACCTTCAACAAGATACTCCCAAAACAATCAGGGATAAGTCGTCTGCCGGCAATATCGATGTAGCTTTTATGTTGTCGGGCCAGGTGCTCAGGATTTAGATAGTTGTAAATGGGGTTGCATTCAATGCCGTAAGTGGCGCGTGCGACTCGAGAGGACACTAGGTGGTCAATGTAGAACGAAACTGCCCCATCAGCAACAGCCTTGTTGCTGCGGTTACCTGGTGAGAAGTAGTCACGATGATAGTCAAAGGCTTACACATGAGCATCAGGGCGACAGAAGGTGATGCCTAGAGGCAGAAAATATTCCTGGAGTCTCGTGAACAGCCAGTCGCTGGCGGCAAAACCGCCAACCAAGCAAACCATCTTTACGATGATGTCATAATCCGCCTAGTATATGAGCGAAAAGTATTGCTCACACTAATCGGAGTCAAAGCTGCACGCCGCTGCTGCTCAAATGCCTCGATGATAGCTTCGATAGATGGTTCAAACAAGTCGGCGACGTCCTGGCTGTACAATAAAACATGAGTGCTGTGAAGAAGGCATATTAAAGAATATGGACGAACCCGGCCAATTTCAATTGCCCTGATCGAACGTCGTACTTCGGATCCTTGTCACGGATAGTACCAAACCTGATGTAAGATGGTTCATCGGGCTTACGGAACCGAAGTTTCGTGCTTTTGTCGAAGATATCCGCCATTTGTGCGATGATCTTCGGGTTGGAGTAGTGCTCCGAGCCCGAAAGTTTCTCTGGTCAATCAAATGACTATCAGTTTTTGGTTCCCTGTATGATTGATTGATTCACGGACTCTGTAAAAGAGTACGAGCGCGACTAGTAACAAAGACTGAGCCCTGCAGGCAACCTGAGTGGGCTTTAGCAAGGGAATATCACAGGAAAGCGGGACTCACATTCAGCTGGGGCAATCTCCTCGAACGAGGTCGGAGATAACTTCATCGAGTAGGCACTGAGATCGATGGTTCCGCCTCCGGCGTCAATAACAATAACTCCCTGGCTGTCAGATTGATCATCCTCCTCGTCGGAGTAATCTGACACATCTATAGGGGTTGTGGAAAGTACATTTGATCCAATCACGTTAGTAACACAGAAATGAAGACTCGCTTCGCCCTCATTCAAGAGGTGCACGTGAGACTGCTCCTCCTTAGATGAGATAAGACCAGCGAGCTCGACAGCACGTCTAATTTGTTGTTGTTGTTGACCTTCCCAACCGTTCGGATGTGTGAGCACGAACTCAATGGAGTTCTCGACCGATCTCCAGAAATGCAGATGTGATTCCTGAATGTAAGTTCGAGCGCATTGGAAGAGGTAGCGCATGAAGTCAGCGAGAACTTCTACTGCGGATTTGCCTGGTGGGAGAGGTTTTATATCGTCATCCCGTATATGAGATGATGGCAGATGCTTGGCGCGAAGATGAAGTTTCCACCTGACCGAGGTTAATATACAGCCTATATTTTTTTCTTGACAATATACATACCATGCGAGCTTCACCCATCCCTCGTCTTCTGCCTGTTCGATGACATGCTCTTGTAGAGCCTCGGCACCCACAGCGCGAACGTCTCCCTGAAGATCGTAGTAGAGAATTGATGGTATTTTGGAGTCACCTCCAACATGCTCTTGCGCAGGATATCTGCAATCCCACCATGAGCAAAACACGCGTTACTTAAGCTGGCTACTGACCTTGCTACTCCTCGAATTACAGGCACTTCCCCTGGGTCTAGCATACAATATGAGACACCACTGAACGTGGTCCCAACATCAAATGCAAGCACTAGCTTTCGGGTTGAGCCCTTGTATGGTTCCCGTGGAAGCATAATGGTAATTTGAAGGTTGGCAATCCATGTGCTGAAGTTTATATGCAAAGGGGTGTGCCTCACATTTCAAAGGTCACATACCAAGGTTGGAGGCGCAGATCAAAGTGTGTGTGCCTCGTGTGGCAATTGATTGTGCTAGGATAGAGCAGACGCGTGCATGTCGTGCATCTCCTATGACCTGTTCTGAACAGGGCTGATCTTTCAAACCGGAGCCCTACGCCCAGTTTCACGTACCATTCACTGAGGAATTTATCTGAGTTCGGATCTTACATGTGCATGAGCAGCTTCGAAGTTCGGAGCTTCAACCCTGTGCACATGCATTCAAAATATTGACACTTAATATCGACTTGGCGTCACCCGCACTGCCAATCAGCCTGGCATACACGGCCTGTTAGTAAATGGTTTGAAATGGGTTTTGTGGTTGAAACACTATTACCTGAAGTGTTGTGACTAGATAGTATGTCGTTAGATTTGAGTCACTCTTGAAGTCGGATTGTCTTCGAGACTGGTTGATGCTGGTGAAGTTCGTTATCAATGTTTTGCTACCTGAAGCCTCCCTTCAATTTTATGGCTGACGTTGACCTTTCTTGTTTAGTACATCAATGTTGCAGCGCGAAGTGATCATACTAATTTAAATTGTTTAACACACAACTTGCCTGCCCTAAACCATATCGAAGACGGACTATCTTCATTCATCTATTATTAATGGTGGTTTGTCTGGGAGAGACTAGTCCTTCACAGTGAATCACGCCTTTACAACCAGCGATGGCAAGTCGTGTTACTTCTCACCCTTAATACCAACACCCCTATCAGGAAGCCACTCTGAATCCGAGTGGTATTATTTAAACTTCATGCATCAGTGACAACCATCATTTTGCCAAAGCGGCCCAAGATCTAATTACCTACTATGTACTTGTGGCAAGCTGAATGACACCTGGAGCCTTAATTCTGCCAATGGAGACGATAGTCCAGAGATCAATTCCTTTGCATCAGATTCAGTGCACCATGCTGAATGTTGTGATGTTTAGATTGCGCTGATGTATTGCATCAGAAGTTCTGTGTGATGGCTTATCCGAGAACTGGGTCTAGCTTTAGAGTTGTTACAATCGATCAGTCACCTTCCGAAAAACAATGTGCAGTTAATAGCCCATAACCTGAATTGAGAGCTGAGCGCTGAGCAACCACCTCGACATCGTGATGCACTGTATCTCTCAACAGGCCTCGTAGCACGTTCCCGCAGAGGATCCCTTCTGTGGGTGTGCGAGTTAATAGTGATCACGCACTTTGGAAACGACATCAAGCTTACGACATCATAGCAGCAGAGAGCGGTATACTTGCATTTGCTCGCAGTGCTGACCTTGGTGCAGTGTGAACCCTGCCAGCCACTGTTGGTCTATTGTTGCGAATTAATGGGCACAGTGAATACGACGTGGAATATAGTGTCGACCTACATCTCCAGCATTTTTGCAACACACCAACGTAGCATCATTCTCACAAGTTGAGACTGCAGACGCAGCTGTGACGCCAGCAAGGGCAAAGATGGCGAGGACGACACGTATGAACATCATGGTGGTAGTTGGACACTGGATGGTGAGGGGAAGGCAGGTCGAGCTTTTATAATTTTCTGTGCACGTATGTAATAGGTCATGGCATTCATCTGAGTCATGATCGCTATTTAGTTAGCTCAACAGAGTAAATTCCCCTTCAACCAGTTGACGTACAATAGACATATGCAGATGGTCAGATTTGAATCGTTCGTGCTGTAATTGAACCAACCGATGCTGGTATCATGTACTCGGGCAACCCAGTCAGCGACATTGACGACGTAACACTCGAGCACTGAGCGTAAGTAGGCGGCATCGGGAGCAGAGCCGGGTAGCTGCTGCCACGTGATTCACTAGGGATGGATAACGCGTAGGTGACTTCCCATCATTTGGCTGCCTGTCGTCTATTGTGTTGGTCCATGTCATTACAGTTCTTGCCGTATGATCTTCTATTCAATATCGCCCAGGATCTTGACATCGATGATGTGCATAATCTCCAGGCGGTCAGTACATTTTGGTCTCATAATACCATGTTATGATCTTATAGCTGACTCAATCTTTCCGTTAGACTTGCAAGTCCTTGCGTTTGTTCACCCTTACCAGACCCGTATATCGTCAACTAGCCCATGACTTACTTGCCAGATCCAGGCCCCTTCCTCTCCACTCCTTCCAGCGCCTCTCTGATCTTTCAACACCCGCGCTCATTGCCGCTGTCGACCGCGCACGAGGTTTTGAGAAGGCATGGGCGATCCGCGCCCCTCGACCGGCTCGACCAAACCCGTACTACGGAAACCAGTGGTACATCACTATTAGCGTACCCTCCCATGAAGAGATCGATTGGCTATCTCCCATCACCAGCAGCTACACACTCTGTGCGACTAAGAGCGGCCGTGTCTTATGCTGGGATGTAAGGAGGGATATCTGCCTTGCTGAGTGGGATCCGAGGTCCTTGACTAGTTCCTGTGGAGGAGACGAAGATGAAGACGAGGATGATGAGGATAAATGGGAGTTATGGAAATGCCGTGTTGAATTCGAAGAGCGCACAGTATATTTCACCATGGCGAGGGTTCTCAAGGGGTTGCCAGTTTTTCATTTTTATTGATTTTCAGACTCAATTGACACGCCTTCTTAGACATCACGATGACCGCGTGATGGAATTCATGCTCATGCGATTATTCTTCCCTCACGAACTCGACGATTACGACGAAATAAATCAGGCACAACTCTACGTCCAATCTCCAATTCTTTCTCACCTCGATCATTATGCCAGTGCTGCTGAACCCCAGTCACGGCAACGTGAAGGGGACTCCCCAATACAATTAACGCCTAGGGTCCCATCGCCCACGCAAGATCCGCCCTCGTTGATCCCGATTTGCGATCAACCCCCCACCCCCACTCCTTCACCACCCACCTCCCAAACTCCATCACCACAAGACTCATCCCTTCTTCACTCCGGCAGCTTCGGCCCATCCAGCACTACATCCAGCGCCCAATGCTCCCCAATGGCAATCAATGCGATGCTACCGCCTGATTCTGCAGAATGCAGCGATCCCCCGCAATTAAACGGAATTCCTTCCAATCAGGCGAATACAGTTGGAATTAGAGGTGATGGTGGTGCCGGGGAGCCGTACCAAGGACCTGTCTTCTGCCATCCCTCCCTCCGAGCGATGTTTATCCGCAGCGCGCCTGCGACACCCTCTTGGGAGAGATACATCCCGCTTCCTATGAATTTTGGTGAGCATTTGCCTTTTAAGTTTTTTTATTTGTTGATGTGCCATTAAATATTGTGTTCTCACAGATCAACCCCCACCCCCGCCCCCAGTATCGACTATTCCCATTCCAGAATCGGCGCGACCAGTATTCGACACGCTTACGAGCTTCCATACAACAGGGGTCATAATGAACGTATTCCTTCTTGACCCGCCACGTCGCTTGCTGAGCGCTTTTGTATGGATTGCGAGTAGTAATACTATCGGTGAGTATCAAGATCAGGATACCTAAATTTATTCTATTTCCGGGTGTTACTATAATTGCCATTTATTTGAAGCTGCGTACTGATTGCTTTGCGTTGCATATGACAGGATTGTACGTACTCCTTGACTGGGCGAAAGACGACTATGTGTTTGTGGATACCGGTGTTGGATGTGTGAGTACTCTTTGTGGTTATTGTGTTTCCTTCAAGTTGCGCTCCATGTTTGGTGGCACACGCATTGGTTTGGTACGCATACAGTTAATGCCACGTTCTGCAACTCCTCTGCCATTTTTGGCATTTACACGAATATGGTGGCTTCAACAGCACGCGTGTCTTTATCCAGCTGTTTTACCATACAATATTTTCACCTGTTAACCTCCTTTTACAGCTCATCTCTTCCAACTGGTCCTGCATCCTTCACGAAGACCAAATCGTAATCCACAGCGAAGAAGCCGACGCTGCCTATCAGCACTTTTACCCGCTTGAGGTGCTCAGAACATACGGCCGTCCCCGCCGCACTGTTTCCCCGGCCACTCATGCACAGACTCCACCTCAAGCGGAAGACGGCGTCCCACAGGAGAGCAACGGCGAGGACATAGCGGACTCGTTGAAGAGCTTGTGGAATAAGCTCCCAAAAATATGTGCAAGACTTCCGCCGAGTAGGAGTATCTCGAAGAATTTCGTGTTTCCTTCTGTGCCGGGGACCTCGGGTGTGGTGGTTGGTGTTCTTCCTGTAGGTGATGAAGATGAAGAAGACACTGAGGAGGAGGATGAAGCTGGTGCGGCGGAAGAAGATCAGGGACAGACCGAAGATAATACCGAGCCCGTTAGTGAGGAAGGACAGACCGGCGTGACTGAGGTATCTTCTACAGTACCTTCCGCTGAGGATGAGCAGTCGGTGGGTCATGAAGAACCTGTGGACGAAGAAGAGCCACCAAATGACGAAGAAGAATCTGAAGATACTCACGAGGGAGAAGAAGAAATGCCTTCGAATCCGAAGAGGAAGGGCGAGAGGCGTACACGTTTCGAGGATGAAGAAGCAGGAAATGATAGTCGCGCAGACGGGCCCAGTGACTCTCAGGGTGGCGGGGATGAACTTAACGCAGGATCTTCTTCCTCAAGCCAAGTCGGTCCCGGTCCTGAACCTGTGCCGCAAGACGACGAGGATGCATCATCCTCTCAATCCACCACTTCAACCACTTCTGGACCTCAGCAGCCCACTCAAGATGTAGTAGGTCCTGCAACGCCTGAATCGTTCACAAACCCTTATCCGTTCCCCCCTTGGTACCCCGAGTCTGCACACTTTGTACGGCAGTGGTGGCCTACCCTCCCTGGCGTCCCGCGGTTGAGCTGCACGGTTGTTCTCCTTGCAGCACACGACCATGAGACGCACCACACGCGTTTTGTGCTCGCGCAGCATTATTTCAAGGTCCCAATAGCCCCCGAGGGGCTACCTGTTGCAGGAGAATCGAGCACTAGCAGTTCATCTCATTCTGCACAAGCGAACGACGACGACATGCTTCATCTGTGGTATGTCAGCACGCCGTTTGAAGTCGTATGCGTGCTCGAAGAGGGGGATGACGATGAAGATACTAGCGACCGGCCACGACCCCTCGTAGCTGTTGATTTTGGGCACGCAGTATGGGTGGAGTATGGAGCTTCTGTTGTACCTCCCACCCTTAATGTTCGCGCCCGCGCCGACAGCAATTCTCCCGGGATATATGACGCAGATATTGTTCAACCAAATACAGAGCCAGACACGCAGCTTCACGCCCACTTTGCGCATTTCGAGAACGATCATTCGCATCCGCACCCGCGGCGGCGGGTTCCTAAATGCCTGCGCTTCGTTACCTTCCCTCCTGTGCATGGCCGCCGGGTGCGGACTGAAGAGGCAGTGGTGCGCACGCTCGAGATCCCAGAGGAGTTGGACTTGGATGTCGTTGAGACGATCAATATTGATCAGAGCCAGGGTGCTGTAATTTTGAGTGTGAGGGATGGTAAGATTTTTATTTTGAGGTATGAATGATATTTTTGGAGTGGGGATGCGGACGGATGTTTGCTACACAGAGTTTATGAAAGTGACGATTGTGATATACGATCAACCACGTAAAACACGTCCTCCGATGAGTTGGGGACTGTCCCTGGCTGTACCTATGCAGACATATGTATATATCGTACAAATTAAGATCTCTATTCCTCACATCCCCCTGCATAGATAGCAGTACCGCAATGACCAGTACACAGTTTACCAATTGAAGCATTGAGAACCGCAAAATCCACTGATCTTCTTTAAATGGAGTCAGTCACATGGGGCCCTGTAACTAGGGCCAGCCTTAGGCTAATGAAACCAAATACCGTTTCTGGCTTCTAGTCCTGGACAGTCGTGGAACTGATTGTGGCCTGATGCATATCATGAATCTCTACATCCCGGACCATACCATGACATAGCCCTGTCTTGTTTCAAAACACCGCAGCTGCCAAAGGGCGGGGCTCAGTGGGTCATGAGTAATATGTCTCTGATCGACTAAAATAGTCGTTTCTTTGAATTATCTGTCAAGCGCCAAAACTTGTTTTTTTTGTGTGTCCAATTTCTGTCCTTTTCAGAGTGATACTCTATGTAGGACATTACGATCTAAACTAGACTCCCAGTGTCTCGAGTGCATCTCAGGCTCGCGAATGCCCTGATGTGAAGCGTGCTCCTATCAGTCCGCCGTTCCCGCCGGCCGTTTGAGACGCTCTGCCCTTTGGGTGAGATGACTGTGTACGCACTATCGGTATATGGTACTGCTGCGGTATACATATGTTTAACGCGTACTCGGCTACCGAAGGCAGCTGGTACGGGAATCGGGAGGGATGCAAGCAACGTAAGTAATAGTTAACCGGTTCGCTGGTTAATCGGGGACTGTGTTGGTTGGCTAATTCGGCTTCTTTGGCGTGTGGTTCCGTGTAGTCGAGTATATAAGGGTAAGGTTACATTGGTGATGGTACAGAGAGGTGAAAAAACTTGAGTTGTTCTGCAGGGCTGACACCCCCTCCATCAGTGGGTTGGATTGTGCTACAGAATGCTACGGAGCGCTCTGTAACGCTCTGTAACAAATTACGTTTTCCTGATTCGGCGACAAGGTGTTCAGCGAGACTTAAGCTTGAGAATGTAGAGTGTAATTACATAATAAATTTTGTCAGAAGCTGGCCTGGATGTATCATACGCATAGCTGCTGACGATATCATCTCTGGTACTATATCGCATCGCATCGAAGACATGTGCAATATTGTGAGGAAGCTAGCTGTTAGTAAGTTATAATATTAGGCCACGGACTTGTCCGAGTGAGCATAGCTTGCCATGGCTAATCCATT